TCATATGTCGCCATCGTCCACACTTTTCGCAACTTAATATCCCTCCCATACCGTTATCCGCCCGAGATAGGCAGTTTTCTTTTGACTCTTTTAAAGACCAATAGTTTCGCAAGCCGAGCAAAAAACTGCTTGGCTGCCTGTTCTGATTGAGACGCAAACACAGAGACAGATGCCTTTCTTGGCTACAACATGATTGCGACAAGACACTGGAGCTTCATGAATTTTGTGCGCCAGCGAAGTAGATCATCATCAGTAGATCCGCCTGTTTGGGCATGCTTCGTCAGGAAGGCTGAATTTTCCGACAGTTGCACCGAAGTTGCCTTCTTTGTCCACAAATACAACATAAAACTGGCGCTCCTTTATATAGCCACTGTAATGGCCAAAATTAGGTATAGCCTTGGCAAAGCAATCGCATACCTAGAAGTATGACTTCATCCCATGAATGCATGTGGGCGACACTCCACACAATTCCGAAAATTTCCAATCGAATGCTGAAAGGCTCTTAAGTATAAATTAATAAACAAACCCATAATTGTTGGCGCAAAACAGATAGTAATAATATCCACCGCCCCCCCCCCCCCCTGGACATGCATTTGCCGTCGTTATGTGTGAGTCCAACGATATGCCGCCCATTCATTAGCAATAGCGCAGATGAGAAGCAAGCGAGGACAAAGACAAAAGAATAACAAAATGGATAATAAAAACGTAATGAGGGAAAAACTATCGTTATGGAGTAATACATGTAAAGACTAAAGGACATCAAGGAACTTAAGCAGATTTCATTGATGGATTTTCTGCAAGCTTCGCATATCCAGCAACGTAAATGGTGACCCCTTAATGGGCACAAATGCGTTTATGTTAAGCATTGGCAACGCCCAAATATTATATCGTATAACCCTTCGTCCTTTATCTTATCATAAAGTTAAAGCGCTATTTCATTATTTGTCCTTATTTAGAGAGTGAAATCTGTTGTAGCTCATCGGACGGCAATAAAATATCATCTTACGCTGCAGCTATTGCTAGCCACTCAATTTCTTCCTTTTCGAATTTAAGCTCTCTAGCAGTACGCACACCCATCCTATGAGCCACGTGGGCCAATTTGTTGCCAAACAATTTATTTTTCCAATTGATTGCACAAAAGGATGTCTGCAAAGTAATAAAATAGTTAACTAAATCATTCGTAAATCCTTTCACTGCTAAGCAACATATAAATATGTATACATATAGCAATGAATTTAAGTGTGTAATCGTAGGAGGTCCACTTTAGCTTCAACAATGAATGACTTAAATGTACTCGTACACTAGCACAGATACAACGAATAAATTACGGTTTTTCAAGATGGCCTGTGGTGAGCTCAAAACTGCAATGAAATACACATACATACATATAAGGAATATAAGTATTATATAATAGACTCTTTCTGGAAACCAAAATGTTCCTGGCCTACTCTCTATCGATAGTCAGATAGTTTTCGACGAGATATTGAAACTTCGTATGCTCAAAACAACGGTACAACTGACAGGAAAGAAGTACGAACACCTTTAAGCCACTGAAATATGAAGTACAGATACACACAGCTTTTGACTGGATGGCAAAATAAAACACAATGAAAAGAAGAATCCCTTTCATCACTCGCATATGATTTACATCAGATGCGACATTTACACCAGTTTCTATTTGACTCTTCACGTGTAGTTAAATGGGAGAAAGTGGTTGCGAACGAGAAAAATTGAAATGAAAGATTACCTTCTACTCACTAGTACCACTTTGGTATTTTGTTAACCACTGCGATTTCAGCCAGGAAATAATGGTAGTGTATGTACACACACACGCACACACAACACCAAATAATAGGTTTATGGTGCGCAAAGTCATAGAAAATTACAGGACTCATCCCTTTCGTCTCACAGACGTGCGAATATAAATATTTTTGCATGCTTGAAGTGTTTCTGAAAACAGTCGAATGTCATGCCAAAACATCCCTGCAGTGAAGAGATAGACGAGTGTGCAAAGCTTCTAGTTAAAAACTGGTATTCTAAGGGCGATGTCATGCCAGCTTCTTATGTGTATAGCGACTGTCGTGCTTGAATTTAAAGGTTTCAAGGTTTTTGTTTTTTTTCTGTAGATAAATAGAGTATGAAGCTGATGCAAAGGGTGCACACAGTAAATTATACCAGTTGCTTACTTGGTAGATAAATCGCAAATAAACTATTGTAGTTAGGGCAGAAACGCAACTAGTCGTCTTCTAGTTAGCAACAGTGCATATTTCTTCCTGCAAGCTGCGAAAATACAATAATGGCTACATCTATCATACATTGTATGTACACACAGTGTTTTTAACCGTTCTTGGCGCCAGTGAAATTTTGCTACATAAAGTATAAATAAATGAAGTGAATGAAGTGGTAAACTCAGTTTTTTCATGTCAAATTAATTGCTTGAAATTACACATCCAGATGCCTGGGCAAAATTTTTCAATTTTATTTATTAAAATCCTTTGGCAAATTTAACGTTTTTTAACACTTGCATAAACAGATTTGAATTTTTTAAAAAAATGGCAGAGTTATTAAGGAGAAAAATCGAGCTTTTGTTCAAAAAGCACGAGAAAGCTCAAAACGCTTGAAATATTCGAGTAATAGACTGTGAACAGGTGTGGGAGCAGTGTTTTTTAACTGAAACGTAATAAATCCATTATAGTTTTATTTGAAGATCTCGATGTAGGTCTGAAATACGTAAGTATCAAGAGGGCATTGACAATTTATCGTAAAAAGTGGCAGTATATAGGATAGTTACAAGTTAGTTAAGCTATGGTTCCACACTCTATTTTTTATTATTTTCTACTGTAATTTTATTTATGTTGTTATGCGATACTAGATCGACTGTAGAATGTTTCGGTCTAAGCCCAAATAAATGAAATTGCATGAGACACTTTTCTTCAACTATGTTTACAAGTCTTTTGATAACGATAGCTTCTGGTAGCTTAGACAAGGTAGGTAGCAATGAGATTGGACGCTATGGCAAGTATACATATGTATACCTATTTCCCGGGTTTTTGTATTCCACGAAGCACTGCCTTGCTCTAAAAATCTTGAAGAGCCAAAGAGCACAATGAATTCCCAACTCAGCAAATGCAATACTCACCCCGCACCACCTCTAATTTTTCCCCATTGAGTTCACACCCGAACTCCATTAAGAGCCAAATAGCTCTATGAAAACAATTTGGGATATTATTCAACATCCCCCTTCCCTACTAATAAACAGCCTCTCCCTCCTACCTCTCAAACTTAGAAATTACCGATGTTAGCTTTTTAAAAGTTTCTTGTGAGTCATCAAGTTGAAGCCGGGAGCAGAATAACTGCTTCTAACCTATTGGGTTGCCCCACTGACTTACTGACAGCATAATATTCCTTTGGTGAATATCAGCTTTTGAAGTGATTTGTGGCGCCTCATCATGCTTGGGACATGGTCGTTTTCGTTTGACGTTATCGTAAACAATCCATTTTTCATCTCCAGCTAAAATTTGCTTCAAAGTTTTTTACCGGTCCAAGACGTCTTATATGATTTTGAACGCTTGATTTTGGTATATTGATCTTCTGTTCAATCTCACGCTCAATTACATGACGATCCGATTCGATTCAAGTCTTGATATCGTAATCATCAACTTCGCTTGGCCGACCTGAACGTGGCTGATATTTGAGTGAAAAATCTGAAAGAAAGCTTCTTCTGGGCCAGCCAATTGTTGTCATCAAAATTAATGCTCGTACCATTAGGGAATAATCTAAAAAAGTCAGAAGTAGAAGAAGAAGGAAGCGGTTTACGAATCTTATGTTTTGGAAAGCTTAGATTTTCAATATTGTTTGCAACAGAGAAGCGTAGGTCTGCTTTTAACTATTTGAACACTGAATTTTTTTAACGACGAACCCAACCTCTCGCCCAGCCTACCCAGGGGCGCTTCTGAGGGATAATCGAAAAATCCAACTGACCGGGGACCGAAAAACCAGTAACAGACAGTAATGACTGTACTGAACTCGAAATCGACCACGGAAGGTCGCGGTTACACTTGCCTCTTACCCGACACAGCTACAGATTTGCTCTTCAGCCTGTATAAAATTTCAAGGGGAGTGTAGGCAAGACCATGGAGTGTAGGCAGATTAATGAGCCGCAAACGGCTTTTGTACGAAGGCAGGTTGTTGTTCGCAGTAAAAATTAAAACAAAACTTTAAGGGATCATTTAAGAAGGGATTTAATCGGAAAAATATTACATATGCACGTAATTTACATTGTTTTTTTTTTAATATCTAATCACTGCATGTGATATTGCAATTTTTGAGTTATTGTACTTAGTTCTTTTACTTTTTCATTTATAATTAAATTCGAAAGAATGTACATATGTATGTATGTATGTATGTATGCTATGTAATCAATATTCGTTAGCACAACTGGAGTTGTGTGGTTGTTCACATACCTACATTAGTTGCTTAGCCTTTTAAATTTTCAATATACACATTTTCTAATTAAATATCACTGCGTTAAATGATTTTCTTGTTTGTGTTTACGAGTATACATACATTATTACATAAATAGTGGCAAATAAAATTTCAAAATTGTGGTTTCTTATTTATTTTAGCTTAAATTATTATTATTATTTTTTTTTTTTTAATTTCACCATGTGCGCATACACGTATATATGTATATGTATATAGATATAAATAATAAATTCAATGTATGTATGTACAGGCAGAAGAATTGTCATATTTAATTGATTTAATTAATTCGAAACGTAAGAATTAACGTAAACTTAAGCTAAATTTATGCTTTTCTAAATCATAACCTCAAAATTCGTTTTCAGTATTTATTAATTTGGATAATCTGATAAACATATATAATATATGCGAATATAAATGAATACTGTATTATATACAATATATGTATGTATGTATATATTTACAATTAAATATACTTTTGCAATGTATTTTGCTATTGTAATAATTGAATAAATCAACAATGCGTACGTAAATATGTATGTATGTATATATTCTATTATTAGTATGAGCAGCGGCGCTTAAGAAAAGCATGAAAGAGGAAGGCATACACGCGTGTATATGCACATATTAATATTTGCTATAACTTTGTATGCGAGGGATGCGATTAGTGGTTAGTGGCTATTTATATACTTGCATACATATATGTATGTATGTAAATGTATTCTCGTAATGAATGTGTTTATCTCCTATAAAATACGTTCAAGTTCGTTAGATTGGCATTCGTTGCGAATATTCCGTTCGTTGTAAGCTCAAACAATAAATATAGAATGTTGTAAGTACATATATATGTATGTATGTATGTATGTATGTAAGCAGGTATTAGAATTTAAGCTAAATTTGCGCTATGACGCCGTCGCAATATACTAACATTTCCTTTCAAACTTTACTGCTTCATATGTATGTATGTGTATGTATATGTATACACGTGTAAGTACTTATATTCGGATAAATAGTCGAGGTTCGTTTTAGCTAGTAATTATTAATACATATATATATTCATATGATATATATTGTTTTTGTTATTTTAATTAGCCTTTCTTATACCGTTGTTTAATTAAAGATTTAGGGCAGTCATGAAGAGATTATTTATATAGTCCAAACTTGAACTTTTTCAGCAACTACACACCAACTAGCGCGCTCGTAGTATGACGAGACTATATGTAGACTATTCACATGATGGTTGATCAAGGCATCAAGCTCTCCTTCGCGAAACACGTGGTAGTATCGGTGGCGCGTTGTGGAGCCTCCTTGTGAGGGACTTTCCAACGAGCCAGTTGAGCTGTTCGAATTACCCCACGATTCTGTTGATTGTCGATTTTCGAGCGATGCTTGCTTATTCTGCGCTTTATGCTCACCTTTAACTTGATTAGTTTGCTCCGTTTCAGCTGTCCGTTCAATTGAGTCGCATCTGGTTGCTGTCACAGACAATTGCGCTCCGTTTTCGGCGCCAACCTTTATTTGATCGTGATTTTGCAATGGATGATTGCACATGTTATCGTGTTCTGCCTCCTCCTCTTCTTCTTCGAAGATATCTCCATCTTCTTGCAATAAATACGCTGTCTCGGGATTCAAATTGTACGGCCGGTTCCGTTTGTAATTAATTTTAGATATTTTACAGTTCTCGTACAGCTGCAGAGAATAACTCCGTTCATCGCTTTCTTCTTCGTTTTCCTCGTGTATGGTGAAGCTACGTGTTTGCGAGGACAATGATGAAGTCGAGGAGGATGGGGATTGCTGTAAGCTAGGCTGTGTTGAAAGATTTGCCAGCATTAAACGGCGCTCGCGCAACTCCTCGCGGATCGCCGACAAGTCTCGTAACTCGTTGTTCCGTTTCTTGTTTTGCAATTCTCCCGTTACGCCAATATGTGCGTCTAAGGTATCGGTCAACTCGCTCCTAGCTTCCAAGCTTAAGTATTCGTCAGCACAATTTTTGTCCTCAATCTTACGTAACAACTGCACGTTGAGTTGCTCCGCAAATTCAACAAAATCGTGCTCCTTTCGCAGTGGTAGTTGTGCATTTGTATTCGTATTACTCTGAAGCGATGGCAAGGGGCAACTATCTTCTTCATTTAAGAAAATATTATGCGGAATGGCACCATTCAGTTGGGTATCACAGTGCGGCTGATTCCTTGTTCTATTAACTTGACCGCTGTCTGTGTCATCAGCACACAACAAGTCGCCGCTTTGCTCGGCATTCGGTGAACTCTTTTCGTTTACCTTTTGTTCCATGGTAATTGTGTTTCCACTGGATTTTCCCGTGCTAATGACGCTATCAATTGAATTGGGTGTAGATGCCTCACTGGAGTCGCTGTCTAGATCATCAGTGGCCGGATTGAAGAGTTCTAAGGACATGAGCTTTGGCATGCCAGGTATGCTTGTGGAGGCTGTGCCCGAGGAACGCCGTACGATGGGAAAGGTCTGGCGTATTGCTTGCAATGACTGTTGCTTCCGAAATTTAGGTATGGGCGGGAGGTTCTTAACAATTTGGCGAGTAATTTTCATTTCCATGCCGACTTTTCCTACTCCTCTCTCTTCTGGCTTCTTGCCACTTTCGTGCTGCTTAATGTGTGCTTCATCGAAACTAAAGCGATTATTTCCGGCTTCCGTATTAATTTTAGCGCTGACTTCGGCCTTTTGACTTTGTAAGCCTTCATTTAGAAGGCTTGTTGGCGGAGTAAGCATGGCCATGGCGGCAGTCACAGCCGCCACGGTTTGAGGAGGCGATGTAACGACAGCTTGTATGGCAGCGGGCGAATGTGCGGGCGTGGGTGGGCATGGCATAATCAATGGTGATGTAGGCACAGAGGGTAATTTTTGATTTTGCGAATGTTGCTGATGTTTTAGACACGTGAGACAGCTAGTGGGGTTGCCGTTGGTGTGCTTTTGGCATGTGGCATTTTTGTGTTGGCAACAACTGCCGTAAGCATGGCATTCCCCGCCATTCGCACTACCGCCACCATTGCTTGAGGACGAGTTGCTCGAACTTGAATTTGAATTTTGATGTTGTTGCTGGTAGTTGAGCTGCTGCTGATGCTGTTCCGGCTTTGGTATGAAAATAACTGAGGCGAAACTATCTTCAGACTCTACGCTTGTGTCCGATTGCAAGCTGCTGTCTTTGGAAGAATCTGAGCCGGACTCTTTTGAGTGTCTGCGTGCGTTTTCCTCTTTTATTTCGCTGCAGTCACCGGTTGTGCAAAATGTGTTGCAACCTGTGTAGTGATAGGTGCTGCAATAGCAGGCTGAAGTGGTGCTGCAATCTGCGCTGTTACAATACGTGACTGGACCAGCGTATTTGTTGCCTGTTGTTGTACCGTTGCCAAGTGATAATTGTTTTTGTAAACTATGTGGACCAGCCTCGATGGAATTGGTGGACGCACCTTGTTGACGTTGATAGTTTTGGAGATTCAAGGACTTTTGCTGTTGCACATAGTAATGGTGATGATGATGATGGTGGTACTTGCTGCACTTGGCTACGCCCGAAGGGGTTGCGGCTGTATTACTTTCCATTGTCTCTGGAATTGTTTTCTCGGCTAGATCTGTGTTCAAGGTCCCCGGTGCTATGTAGGCCGTAAGGTTTTGGACCAACTTGTTTATTCCAGTTTTTGTGACCCGCTCGAAGCTGCCTGTTGATGTTTTCATCTTCTTCGTGAAGTTCTCTCGTATGACATGAAGTTTCTTCGAAAAGATTGCGGATCGGCAAAGGAAGGCCTCATTCAATGACGTCTGCTTTTGAATGCGCTTGCGAACTCTCTCCTTCTCTCGGAGTCGGTTAACAGCCATGAGCTCCTCGTTAAGGGAACTCTGTTTACGTAGAAATATATTTGCCTGCATCATTTGGCGGGCGGTTAGAGTTGTTTGATTCTGCATATTGTGCGTGTTCATTACTTTTCCAACCATTTGTGATTTGTTATTGTTGCTATTGTAGTAATGTCCGTTACGTAAATACAAATTGCTGCTGACATTGTTGTTATTACTATTGTAAGTGCTTATGACTTGAAATGGATTTTCTGGCAGTTGGCATTCATCATCACAAAGTGATTGTTTTTGTTTTATCAATTTCGGGCGACGTCCCAACGAAGAGCCACTATTTAAGCTACGCGCATTCGGAACATTATTGGATTTAGTTGGAGAAACATTGTTTTTGGTGGCAACGACAGACGGTCCATTAGAGTTATCAACTGCATGATGGGCGTGTTGCGTAGTGTAAGGTGGATCTGGTAATGCTGCCTTGTAGCTCGCATCCAAATGCAGTACGTTGCCACCCAAACTTGGCACACTGGAGCGAGAGCGTACGATTTGACGAGGTGGCGGATTAAGAATACTACCAAGACTGCGCGATTTCAATCCAGCAGAAAGTGGTGGCTCGTGAAAGTCCTCGAAATCCTCGAGACGGCGAAGTTCAATAGGCAAATCTTTCACATCTTCGTAGTCAAGGCTGCTATCATTTTTGGTTTCTTTAGAAGTCCACGAGTCCAAAAACCAAGGATGCCTTCGACCACCCGCAAGTTTCTGAAAATATATTCGATGCAAATGAGCAATAACTCTTGACTTTTGATTTATACAACTTACTTGAATGGCCCGCCGCACAAAACTGTAACACGACTCACCCGGCGACGATGAGGATAAACTCGAGCTGTCGCCATCGCCAGCGGATCTGCTCGAATTTGTTGAGTCTTCTGTGTACGCGTGATACGGCGGTAGGAAACTGTCGTCATCTTCTTCATCCGAACAGCTCATGGTGCGTATTTTAGGTGGCTGCCATGGTATGAGCACATCCTGCGACTCAAATCGTCGATGTCTCTGCTCAAGTGCCCACACTGTTATAATGACGCGACCCCCAATACGCAAAACACGCGCCAGCTCTTGAAGAGCATTCACACGACGCTCGGTAGTGGCGAAATGATGAACAACGGCCAACGAAAGAACCGCATCAAATGAATCATCACGAAATGGCAGTTCCAAGTTATCACAAAGTAAGACCTTAAATATGCAATTAAATAAGTAAAAAAATTTCCTATGAGTGTTTAGCAAAGGAAAATCCTAGAAAACTAACCTCTCCGCCTTTTTCGCGTGCGACTTTGCTCAAACGATAACAACGATCCACGCCCACTGTACAAATGGTAGGATTGCCATGCGCAAGATAACGTCCATTGCCACAGCCTACATCACAGACCACAGCGCCAGGCTCTAAATTATTCAGAAACTGTGCTATACGTGGTCGAATCGGTCCTGTTGGCTCTTCACAATGCTCGTAAACGTCGTGAACGTAAGCACGCTCAAGCGCCGCCGATCGTCCACTCGAATCGCCTCCCGATTTCACTGTAGGCGCCGCATCATTAACACACTTTATCGAGGCCAAGCTATTGACGGCAAGCGAATTTGGCAACACAGGGATGCAATTGCTATTAGACTTTTGTAATAGTTTTCCATTATTACAGCCTTCGCCCTCAGCAGCACCTAATTCGGTTTGATTACGTGGCGATATGTCATTGGTAGTAGTAACAGGCGGTGCAACGGGCGATATGAAAAGGGTGCTGGCGATTAGATCGGGTTTCGTTGGAGAACTGTTGGTTAGTTGTTTTGTCATCGATGCTCCTTTAAATGTGTTTGTCTTTATATCCAATGACTGCCCGAACTCTGTAGGGAAAATTGTATCTGCAAAAAAGACGATAATAAAATGTTGACTGCAATGAAAACAAATTTGTATATACGAGTACGAGTACGAGGCAAAGCAGATCCATACCATTTAAGTTTCCATTAAAGGTGGCCGAAACATCGCTTGAGCGCTTGGAGTTGTCTGTGGTTGAGGCGATTGCTAAGCAGCTGGTGAACATTCAAAATGCTTTCGTATATTTCTTTGTGCTAGGCGGCTCCAAATTTGATATATACCATCACAGAGGCAGGTGGACCTCAGATCTCAATCACTTAAATAAACAAAAAGGCCGTGACAGCTCTCATTCGTTACTCAGAAGCGTTAGCAAAGAAATATTATATGGTAATCTTTAGCTCCACATTTTCGAATTGCATTTTTCACACAAAACAACAATAACAAATTCTTGTGTTCATTATATAAATATGGAAATATCTAGTTACAGTTATTTCACTAGCCTTTGCTACCAGAATCAAATATTTGCATCACATTCACGAGAGAAACATTACTCGCATATCAACACCATTCTCCCATACGGGAACTCATCAAAAAATACCGCTATCTCTTAAAATGGTAGATATATATGTAAATCTGTTAAAGTAATAGTCGAAAGTTTACTATAAAGTGAAAATGATTAAAATCTGAGCGGATGAGTTGTGCTTTCGGTGTGCTTTGACCGGAAATCGACTTTCATTTTGACACGGTAGCGCAAGTTTTCTGATAACAAAGTGTTATGTTCAAATCCTCATGTCGTACTAACATCCAAAAAGTTATTGAACATTATTTAAAATAATAAATTAAGTTAAAATTTCTAATTGCAGCAGGCAGGGAATGTCAACCACTCCGAGTGTGTTTCTGACATGAAATAAAATCTCCTCATGAAAAACCATCAGCCGTTCGGAGGCGGCTTGGTATAAGCTGCACGTCCCTCCATTTCGTTGGTCAAACATTAAGACGCAAAACCACAAATTGGAGAGAAGCTCTGCCGAGAATCGCTTCAGCGGTTACAAAGCGCCAATTATATATATTTAATTACCATCCATTAGTAGTGGGCTGTTTAAGGTTGTCCAGTAGCTTTGAATTCAAAACAGGTTTAATGGCATTTTATGAAAGATGTTTTTCCTAGCTCTTTGAGAGACGGTTGTTTAGAAAAATTTAAAAGGATTGATTTTTTAGCCAAGTGTTTTAGGGATCTCTTCGTAACTGGCATTACAAAGCCACAACGCATTAAAAAATGCACAAATAGAAAATATTGCAAAAATCTCTTACGATGGACAAGTTGCACGAAGTTTCTTATGTATTTGCGCATATGTATATATATATTTGTACATGTGCATATTAAAAGAGCCTTTTTACGTTGAGAACTTAAAGGGTGCAGGCATTTTTCCTTCATTTTCATGCCATTTTCCTAGCGACTATATTTAGCCATGAGTAAACAAACAGGTGTAAATAAATATATTCTCGTAAATATAGATGCGAACACGTGCACACATACGTACGCATAATTTCACATACACATACACAGCTCTTGATTATTTGACAATATGCTGAGTTGAGTTTCGTTAAGTTCATGTAAACAAAAATACTTTCTATACTCTCCTTACTATCTATCTATCTTCTCTACTATTTCATCCTTGTCCAGCAATGTGAGCCTCCGCTAATCACCACCCTGTTGTGAGCATATCTTAAAATTTTTATGAATGAAAAGCTTTCTCACACACACAATGGTGCACTCACATCAGGAAACCCCCTGCATTGTGGCACTTCAGAACGGGGTCGTTGTGCTAATTTCGCTGACCTGCGGTTGCTAGAAAACTGGTCTTTTCAGTATGGAAGTATATGTGTATGATATATATAATATGTATATATTTATATACAAGAAATTAAAAATATCTGAAAGGGAAAGATTTGAATACATGAATGAATGGATAAAAGAGCATATCACACAAATCATTCGCATGCAAATACATATACATATATATGCGTACGCATATACAATAGTTACATTAATGATATGAAGAGACATATGTATCTATACACACACGTACGAGCATATCTACATAAATGAACTTTTTTCTGACTAACTTAACGAACCGCAAAAGCACAAATGTGCATCGCCAGAGAGAGATAGAGAGAGAGAGAGCGACACAAATTACGGACATGCACTTAAGAAGCTTCTTTGAATTTGAAATGTGTCGAGTGTAGTTGGCCTGCGGAGTGGTGAAAGACGACAGGACACGAGAACTAGCATTGAAGCTTTTTTAAACGCTGGATATTTTACCACTAAAATTTTCTTTAAAAAATTTAATTTCAGCCTTTCTTCTTGTAAGTGGGGAGATTTATAGTATTTTTTCGAAATCAATTTCCATGCCACTTTCTTTTAACGTTGAAAATGCAACTAATGATGAACAAGGCTTGCTAGTTGGAGAGGGAAAAATGATTCACACACTTTTCACACAGATTCACAAATTTTATTTTAACTTAAAAATAGCGAGCTATGCCTGCGCAAATTACTTTTTCACTGTATTCACTAACTGAAAATCAACTCGAATTCCATGTTTTTCAACGGAAGCTGTGATTTTCTTACATTTTCTTGTATAGAAAATTTCTTTTAGACCACTGCATGTACCCTCTTTGATTTTTAACTGTGTCTTAGTTGTTCGGGTTAACGTCAAACACTAAATTTGACGAAGTCAATGAAACAACGTAAAGCCCAGTAGTGCTTAGATGAATCTCGAGCTAGTGTTGCCACCCTTAGCATCTTAAATAGCATAAATACAGTAATTAAATATTTATATCTACGCACAGTTTGGGTATATTTCGCTATAAAAAGGTAAATTAAAACTGTACTGATATTTTAAATTTCTAAGTTGCGTTGAATATGGAAATAATTTGGAAAAACTCTTGAAGCGTAGCAGCATTTTTGGCGCACAAGCAAGCGTAAGCAGTAAAATAAAGCTTTTGCTAAAAGCTCTTCATATTATACGGTACAAGCATATATGTTAAATTCCAACGTACTGGATTGTAGGGTGATACATATTTTTATTTTTTCGTTCGCAAACCGAAGGGCAACTGCAGATACACAAGTCAATATTGTAACTTTTGGGCTAAATAAGTCTTGATAATTTCGCAAGTTCGTTAACTACGAATACTGGGTTGTTGAATAAACGTTGGAAGGTTTTTATTGCGTCTTTATTGAAACACTCAGTTTATATATCCCTTCTACAATATACAAATAGCTTACTCCGTTTTACTCTGCACCGATGTTGCCTACGCGCTTCGCTCTGATATACAGGTAGCTGCAGTTAACCCGCGTATATCAGCTAGAAGATTCAATTTCAAAGTTCTCGATAACGAACGTTCAACACAGGCTGCTGGAACATGCAGTAGTCATCGGTCTCTCAAACTTATCTGATATTCGTATTTGTAATATCACCACACCGTCCACCATGTAAGTGAGTTCGTTGCGACACAGGTTTCCCATCATTGTAAGTTTCTCCAAATGTATAACCTCAGCTTTGAATTTCCGCTTTCTTTCCTGCCTGGTGGAGCCTTTGTGACACTGGCGAAGTGCTCGGTTTTATATAGTTGTAGCACTCCTTAGTAGCTAATCTTTTTAGCGGTTGAACCTACAGCATTTCTCCTAGAGGAACTTTAGGGTTGTGACAGTTTCGGCAAACGTTGACTTAGGAGTCGCATACGATTAACGTTTGGTATGGCTTTGTATGTCTTTTACTCCGCTAATGGACCTATGACTTGTACCCTTTCGAAATGCTCACCAGATGAGTCCCCAATAGCCGAATGAGCCCATCTCTCAATTTCGGAAGCGAGTTCATGCAAAGATTCATAGGGTTTTTGGTTGCGATTCAGTTCCGGCACCTTGTGCTCACTACCATAGCGTCTTTCCGCGGCTCGCAAGTGCCTTCAACGCAACGAATCGGGCTGCGGATTTTTTCTCGATTCTCCACTCCGTCTTTTGAATTGGAGCTAAAGGCGGGAAAGGAATCGTACCATCAAGGGATGCTGTTGTTACCCTGATAGCGTTCGGCGAAGCAGTTCGACAATTAAACTGCAAAACTCGGAACCGACCTTCTAACTCTTGAACCGCGGTCTTAAATTTCTGGGGCATGCTGTAGTGTTCGATCTCTTTCCTTCATTTGATGGTCATAGTGTTAAATTAGGATTTTTGTTTCTTTATCTGTGCCCGACGGTCTTTGGATACAAATATCTTCTATCTGTTATACTGACGATGTATCGATTCTAAGGGGAACCAAATCCGATTGAACTGTGGGACGGATACTGTGGGCAAAAATGTAAAAATGCAGCAAAATGATGGTGGAATGCCAAACAAATCTGAAAAATTCGATTTTCCCTAAAACTATATTATCCCAAATAGCATTTTATAAGTATACATACATATATAGATATGTATGTTAGTATAATTTATTTAATGTTCTCTTTGTATATGTATAGTACGTTTCGAAAATTTTAAGTTACTTATTATTTAATATTAAAAATGACAGTCTTCAAAAGACAATGACTAGATACAAATCAATGGAGCGCGATAAAAATACTTTCTTAGCTTTTGATGTTATGAAAAATCTACTTTGGAATTGTACACTTTTAAAATCGTGTTATTTTACTGCTCTCTGGTGAGTCCGGCAGAGAGGAGCACTCAGAACGTGCCGGGCTGCCCCGTTGTGGACGCGGTGGTGGTCGTTGAGGATTTATATTGGCGTTGGCTTGGCGCAAGTTGGCAAAGAACTGTTGTCGACGCGGGCCGCCGCCTCGGAGTGGAAGAGTCGGAATTTCACTTGGAGATTGAGCAATTTCCGCTTGCGAACAGCTGCGCATAGCTGGGTTGACACACTCATAAACGCTCTAGAAATAAAAAAAAAAACATTAGTTTTTAGGTTAACAAATTTGTCTGCATATACATATGTATGTACATATGTATATATGTATGAGTATACATATATTTTACTGTAAAAACGCAAATACGATTTACCTGCTCGGAAGAGTACTGGTTGTTCTGCGCAAAGGCCAGTGATGTGAGCGAAGGTAGCGCTTGAGCAATGTCCGAGCGCTCAATGCCACGAACTATAAGGAAGGTGCGCGGAATAAGCACACCAACCAGTATAGCCCAACCAGTGGCCTGTAGACCCAAGGCAATTGCTGCATCGCGCATCTCATCACCGAAGAAAGACATTGCGATCCAAACGATCCAAATAACAAATGTAAGCACGGCCCCAATGACAATTAGAATACCTTCGCGGTAGTTCCGCTGCGAGCGATATATAAACGGTACCAAGCAGACAATACCCAGCAGCAATATGAAATCGTAGCCAACCAATACCCACAGCCAGTGTCCGTAGTACATGTTCTCGCAGGAAATACTCTCACTCGCAACATGCATAATTACCATCAGCTGTATGGACATACCCAGCTGTACGAAGATGCTCAAAATGCAAATTACCGCTTGAATATAGCCGTTAACATGGGATAAAAAACCGCCCTCAGAACCGATGGAAGCGAGCATAACAGACCGACACAGCAACAGGGAGAAAGTCAAACAGTAGACCAGCGTCATGATAAAAACGCGCACGGCGCACAGCGTATTTAGAGTGGCGGCATCTTCGAATGTCACGTGCGAGTTCGGATGCTCGCCTATGTACTCCAAAGAGAAGGGTACAAATGAAGTGAATAAGAGAATCAGAGAAAGCAGCAATAAAATCGAGGTTACGGGATTGCCTTCGAAAACGTCACCCAAGGATATGCGCACAACAATAAATACCAGAATAGCTAAGGTAATTATGAGGCCAAGTATGGCGGCGGTCATGCCAGTGGCCACCCATGCATCGGGCTTAATGCGCCAAAACATCACGGATTCCCCATCAAAGAGAAATGGATATCGCGCATTATCGCCGGCACTATATTGGCAGTTGAAGACCTGGCCGAACTTCGGTTTCAGCTCCACACTTGTATTGTTCGCTTTATTGTAATGATAAAAAGTGGTTATGTTGGTAACCATGTTTTGTGAGGCAATCTCCAAAAGATCTACCTGATCTGCTGCAGATATCATGCTTGTCTTTCCCTGAGTGTGGCGATTGAGCTTTTGAAACATTTGGAAGTTCATGTGTGAGGCGAATCTATGCAAGTGCAGCAACTCTAAAATTTTCGAGGGTTCGTAATATAGTCGGTACTCTGGCGTCTGCCAGTCGGCAATGAATTTGAGGAAATCCGAGCATGACTCGAATAGGAAAATATTTTGCTCTGTTCTGCAGTTGCGCATCAGTGAACCCTTGAGCCAACGCATAAGCTCCAGCAGGGGTCGTGCTAGAGCGAAAACACGTGACGGTTGAACTGATTTGCCCGATATAGTTTCCTCTGCTGCGGATGTTGTGGAATTGCCTTCCATTGCGTCGGCATCTATTTCGCTTTCCATAAGTATGTATGATTTATCTGGTAGATCTGTAATTCAACAAGAAAAAGACTTATGAATAAATGTCGTAAAGAGGGGCGTGTGCTGAGGCGTTTACTTTACCTGTTATAAGAGTTCGATCAGTGCGATCGGTGGAAACAGCGAAAATAGTACCGTTTTCCTCAAAGTGATGGGTCATTTTATCGCCAAACAGAATGTAGATGTTCTTGTTGCTCTTAAAATGCATGAGACACATGCGCTCGTGTCGCACAGCCTCAATAAATTCGTTATAGATATCTAAGTTCTCCGTAAAAATTTCCACGGATGCTATGTTTTCCGACCATGGCATTTGGTGCAACAGATGGGCCACTTTCGGAAATAGATATATGCGAGGCGACAATATTGGCCAAATGTTGTACTCCAAGTCCTTGATAAACTGCTCCGAATTCTGATAAATGTCATAGTCGACGAATATTCCGATGGCTTGAGTTATGCACTGTTGCAGATATTGCACCTCTTGCATGAGCAGATTTTCGGCGACGCTTTCATCTTCGACGAAAATAGCGCGAACACCTTCAAATTCGGGAAATGTGTGGGAAATGTATTAATGTGAATCTTCGTATGTAAGTTCATATGTATGTAGGGAGCAAATAAACTGCAGAGAAAGCGATCAATTCACCTACGACCCAATGAGTGACTGTGACTGGCGCTGTCAACAAACCGAGGATGGAAATGTCTTCAGCGCCATTCGATGCGGAGTTGACAGAAATGATCGTTTTCTCACAGCTACTAGTCTTAGAGAAAGTATCCTAGCCAATAAACACCTGTTGGTGTGAACAGTGCTAGGAGTTGAGACTCACCATATAAAAGATAATAAACAATACAAGAATTCTTTTTTTGTGGATAAACCTTTGAAGCTTTTGGTAGATATACAACGTTCGGTCCCATTGTCGTTTACTACCTCACTGTTCCCCGCCACCATGCCAAAAGTATGTTTGGCGACTTTAACGTCTTCACTACAATATGACCCCATATGAGCCGAGGCTCATAGACTTCGCTGTGAACCGAAATACAATATTACTCGACAGTAGCACCAAATTGCTGTCTCCGGATGGAAAGTCTCCCAACCAAACCGATCTTGTGGCAATATATGGAAAAGCAGTCGCAGCGATCGACCCCAACACAAACCATATGGGAACTATATCGATAGCTTAAAAGGCAACTGAGACGCAGAATACAAAGTATTGGGAGAATTGTTGATACATTTCTACCATAAAGAAATCTTTGCCCTCATCAAACTGGACAAAAAAACAGTCACTAGATTCACGCTTAGAATTCCGCATCGCCCTTGGGAGCCACAACACTGTAGCTAATGTCGTCTATCTAGGAATCAGCAATGTCAGTCTGGGCTTCTAACGGCTAACCATTCTTGCCGTTGGAAGGATCAAGTGGAGAACACACACACTTGGTGTCTCGGAACAGAACACACCTGTGCTGGTATAGAAGTGTGGTGTTGGCAACTTTTTCCACTTTTACCGTTAATGGTGAGCTGTAGAACATATGTTTGCGAGCTTCCTTTGCTGGAAGTATGATTTTGGATATAATGACGTGACTCACCAATTTCAAAATCTGCACCCAAAAGATTCACCTTGTTAATACGGTTGATGAGAAAAAGTGCTGAGGCTGCGTCCGTAGTCAGTACGCTGAGCATCACATCACCTTCTATGACATGTACAAAATCACGTTCGTGTTTCACACTTTGCGCCTCATCCTTATCACCGGACACTAAGCTCAAGCCATGAATACAGATCTCGGATATGCCCGGAGTCGATGGGTTCGCAACTGTAGGCGCTGTGCTGGGCAGTGGTGTGGTGCTGGTAGGTGCCAGCCTTATGGAGGCGCCATTGTTTATAGTTCTAGGCGTGGGTTTTGTGATTCTCAACAAGCCAGCCGTTGAAGTAGATCCTTGAGTGTATACAGCCACAGGATATATGATAAGTATGCAGGCCAAAAGAAGACGGGGCATTACAACTGCAAAAGAGAGAGTGTGAAGTTTATAACCCTCGTAACAGTCGCTTATGTTTAACACTTACCGGTTCTTCTGTTAGCGAGTATCAATCCTTTATCTCGAAATTCCCAGCTCATTTGTTTCACTGAACTGATGAAAATCAGTTCAGAATTTTCGTAATCCCTGAAACTAAGGGAAAGAGCATTTCAGTTCACTCTACTCAATGTTTTACCGTTTTAGGCGTTTGCAACGGGCAAACTTAGTGAAAGGGCGCTACTAACTAATTATCGGAAATGCGCTGATAGTTTTTCAATTCTTGCTTTCTCGTTTGGACATCGACGCAGTTTTTCTATTGTTTCTTCCTTGTTTTTTTTTTTTTTTTTTTTTTTTCTCATACTTGTATATGTACATGAATGTGCTTTTGCCAGTCTCGTTGTGAATATATATTTCGATGGAAGCAAATATATGTGCATGTGTATCTGCTTGCACTGTTGGCAGTAATCGCATTAGATTTGCAGCAAATGCTATTGCACAAGCAAACGTACATCTACACATATGTATATACATACAGAACGCTTTCTCTACTTTTATCTCTCATAAATGTGTACATTTAAATAAAGAAAATATTTTTCAAAGTTTATATACTAACAGTAATATGAAATTATTTTTACTCGTATGTACATACGCCGACGAGTATGTGTGTGAGGTGTAGTGGCGAAGAATACATATATATACATATTTACATATGTATGTGTGTATGTTCTCGCAAAGTGCATTAGTAACACAGTGGACTAGATTCATATGGCACACTCTTTCCGCTTAAAAACCAATCGAAAAATAAAAAAAAATATCTGAAAAATAAATATAAACTAGAAATCATTGATGTCATGACATCTTTCCCAATGTACGGGACATAAAACGCGCGGCAGCAAAATTTATTGCCAAATTTTTTAGTTTTTAACGAAAACAGCGGCGAATTAGAATTGCCCAGAAGTCACTAAATGGAATCAACGAAGTGTCAGAATTACTGAATCCCATTAAGTGACAAGTGACGAAATGTGGGTTTACAATAATTCCCCTTCCCGCATCAGTAAACATTTATTTTGTTAAAAAATAGTTAGTTTTTTTTTTTTAAACTTCAGTGAACGGCGCTGAATTTTCATGGCGAGTTTTTTTTATTTCATTTGAAAAATGAACACTCGCTGCCGAAGGACGCCAGCAAAGGGAAGAATAGCGAAACAAGCACAACTTGTATTATTTTCGCACTTAAACAACAAATGGACTAATTTGGAATAACTTACAGTTCGCCCACACACTAGGCGTGAAAGGATTTTCTGGTGTTTGCCTAGAATAATTTTTTTTCCGGGATCCCGACGATGACGATTTTTTTGATGTTTTTTTTCATTATTTTCTTTTTTTTTTTAGATTTAATTTGAGCTGGTGATTTGAACGATTCTACCAATTTTCATTTGATTGAGAGTTTTTGTAGCCCCGGATGTTTAAATTGGCCAGACCGATTGTTTTTCCAAGAAATGTTGAAATTTACTATTTAATTCATTAGTAGCACTCAGCGTCTGGCACACATTATTATTAACACACTTTGTCTTCCAGTGTGGGAGTTAGGTTATTATTTTTTAAAAATATGTTAACACACTTAGACGGCAAAACGGCAAAAAAGAGTCCATAAATTCCACTGAAGACCTAACGGAAATCACAGCGGGAGCTTGGCCAAAAATCGCTCAGGCCGTAACCGCATTTATAGAATGCTCTCATGATGTATGTATAAATTCACATAAGTAAATATCTGTATATACATACATATATACATATATATAAACCGACTCGTATTTTTCCATACATACATACTTAGATAAATCCATATGTGTGAGTATGTATATTTATATTGTAATTATTCACTGGACTTTCCTTATTCTCCACACTTTTTCATATTCCACCGATTTTCAGGCCAAAAGTCTCCAATTACACTAAAAATCAATAGATAATGCTTGTAACAGTAAAACATTGTTATCGCCTTCAGTGTTAGTAGCCATTTGTAGGTAACCTAAGCACTATTGTATATGCATATGTATATATGTATATAAGGTGTGTATGTGTGTTTGTTTAAATAATAACCAAGTGACACTCTTTTCGCTTGAAAAAAAAAATTGCTTTGATAAATATCAAATAATTATTAAACAATAAAAATTATATATTTTTTTTTTTTATATAATTACTCACACCAAATAATTACCTTCAGTTCGCTTTCCAACTAACGGATCGTGTACACACTGTGATACGCTTTAAGCGGGAGCAGAATTTTAACTGTTGTACGGCTTGCTTTCATTACACTTCACCCTATGTTAACCAACTAAATTGAATTTGAGTGAGACGGACTTAACGCTTCAGCAGGTTTAAGCTCAATTATATACAGAGTAAACACGGCTTGCAGCGCATGCTCCCTTGCCCCTCGCTACAATATGTTTGAAAAAGAATATTATTTCTAAACTTGGCCAATATGCACTTGCATTTTGAGCTGAATGCATGCGTCCAGTTGCCATACCGCCAAAAGGGTTACCCGTTGTAAGGAGAACACACACACTTGTGAATAGCGCACTGTGGCAATGGTGTAGCTTTGCCAAATTCATTTCTGCTTGATTCCCAATTAATTGTGTTTGAAAAAAAAAACTATGTTCCTAAGCAGCTGCCACAAATCGGGTAGTTTCAACATAGAACTGTTCTTGCTGCGTTTGTTGCGCTTTCGTTGCTCGAACCTGCAGTGTTTGGTATTATTGCGCGTTGCCATGGTGATATTGACTATTCGACGGCCACCTCTATTTCCTCAAATAAGTAGTTTGTTTTCGATAGTATTTTAAAATCAAGCGAAATATTTTCGGAAGGAAAAAAGATAGATTCGAAAGAAAAGAAAAATTTTTCAATTTTCGCTTATAAATATTTTGAAATTGTTTTAACCAACGGCTGGTGCGATTCACTATTCAATTTCAACGATTTACGAGCAGTTAAGAAAACTTAGCGCCAATTTTACTATGAATATTTAACGAATTCGCTATAGCTTGTCAGCTGTCATTGTTGCTAATTAACTCGATAACTTGCCAATTAAACTGCAATATTTAAGCACCGCTTTCCTCGACAGGGAATGTTGAGCATTACGAGTGTTTTTCTGAGGCCGCACGGCGGTCGCTTAGAATAAACTGTAGACATCTCTATATATAGATATGTATTTTTTTCGTTAAATTATCATTCCCCACACCTCTGAAGGAGGAGCTTGCCCAAAAATCGCTTCTCAGTCCGTCATATATAATATGTATGTATTGCTGAGTGCATAAATTGAAATTTTTTGAAGAAAGCGCTTTTATTAATCAATTATGTATTCGCCACCATGTTCGGCGATCCACTCCCAACGTTCAACCAATTTATGGATGCCTGATTCATAGAAATCACGCGGTTTCTCGTTGAAAAAGGTGTCAAGGTGGTTTCTGACGCCTTCCACATTTTTAAATTTTTTTCCATTCAAATTGTTCTGTAGCGATCGAAACAAATGATAATCAGAAGGTGCAATGTCGGGTGAATATGGGGGATGCGGCATGATTTCCCAATTCATCTCCTTCAGTTTGGCCAGGGTCGGTTTTGCAACATGTGGCCTGGCGTTGTCATGATGGAAAAGAACTCCTTTGCGATTGGCCAAAATCGGACGTTTTTCATCAATTGCTTTCTTCAATTCGACCAATTGCTGACAATACTTGTTGGCAGTGATCGTTTCTCCAGCTGGCAAGAGCTCAAAATAGATCACGCCTCGGATATCCCACCAAATGCACAGCAGTACCTTCATCGGATGCAATCCACCTTTCGACATCGGTTCCGCCCCTTCGTGTGCCTGTTTCCATGTTCTTTTGCGTTGAACATTGTTGTACAGGATCCATTTTTCATCACCAGTCACGAGCCGATCCAAAAAAGGTTCGTTTTTGATCCGTCGAAGCAAAGAAATTGCTGTTGACATACGGTCCACTTTGTTTTTTTCACTCAACTGATGTGGCACCCATGTATCGAGCTTCAAAGTGTACCCAACCTTTTTTAAACGACGAAACGCAGTTGATTTGTTGACGTTCAATTCACTGGCAACCTCTTCCGTCGAAATACGTGAGTTATTCGCAACTAAAGTCCTTAGAACATCGTCATCAAGCTCAGAAGGCCGTCCACTGCGAGGTTGATCTTCGAGGTTAAAATCTCCAGAACGAACGAGGCTTTAACAAAATTTTAGTACCTCATTGCGCCATATATAATCCTGTAAGCCGGCAAAGTGGAGCTTGATTTTAATTCACCGTGCTTCTAATGAAGTTTAAAGTTTAAAGTCTAAGAAGGCTTTCAATCATCAGGTTTTGAAGCTGTATTGTACATAATATGAAGGGTCTTGCAAACTAGGAAGGCATTCCAGCTCACTATTACCCGTTTCCAGCTCTCTTAAAACTCTCGTTGTACAGAGTTCTTCCCAATGCCCATGGAGCCTGGTATCAGATAGATGCGCAATCGCTTCTCAGCAGCTACCTCACTCACTGTCCCCTGGCTATTAATATATATATTTTTCCTGCGGTCTTTGAACAGCTCCGCTTGGAAAATATCGCAGTGCTTTATGTTTCATCCGCTTAGATCTTTCATTGTGGCTTGAAGCTTTCTTTCGTAGATAAAGCGTATGTGGATATTATATTTTATACAGCACTCCCCTTTTTATTGAGCCCTGTTCAAAGATTCAAGTAGAAGTTTACCTAATACCACCAATCTTGAAGTGGGCCGCGAGCAATATTTTCTAATGCAATGTTAATTGGGGTAAATTGAATAACAGATTGATCAAACTGTTCAAGGGATGTGAAATAGAGATGTTATGAAGATAATACAAATTTAGTCTTGTTTTAAAGAAATCCTTTTTCGACGGATTGAGTCTATAACTTATAAGAAGAAACTCCTTAAGTGATTGACATTAGCTAAAATGAAAAATTCTCAACGCTGTATCACGATTCAAAAAACAAAAAATACAAAACCGTTAAGAAAGGTGACCGCTTAATGTTCACAGTTCAATATCAAACGAAGAGTGATGAAGCTTTCCGGATAGTTTTCCTTTTTGTCATGCATTGTATCCACCTTCTTGAAACCAAGTGCAGTTTTAGAAAATAAGAAGTATTATGTAATATGTATAACCGCAAATGCGATTCTCGACCGCATAATAAATTATATGATATTTCAATTATCTAATATATAAAAGTCTCGTGTCACAGTGTTAGACACGGTACTCCTGCGAAATGGCTTGACCGATTATAATGAAATTTTAAGTGTATATTCAGTAGGTATGAGAATCTGCTAACATCTATTTTCCACGCCCTGAGTTATAAAGACGACCCCTCAGCTTTTATTTTATTTTTTTTTTTTTTTTGATTTTTTTCATGATGTGAATTTGCGGCTTTTTGCTTAGATGAACAGGAAGACAGCTCTTCTCTGCGAGATGTGAACTGGACTATTCCTCACTCCGGGTGGTGGACCAATGTCAATGGTAAAACAAAAAAATTTTGTATTCCCACAAGTATTGAGAAAAAAAATATATATATATAATTGGTCCTTTTGTAACCGCTGAAGCGACCTACAGTTTATACTAAGCCGCCTCCCAACGGCTGATGGTTTTCTATGAGGAGACTTTTATTTTATGTCAGAAATACAGTCGATGCGGTTGGCATTCCCTGCCGAGCGTCGGCCGTAATTAGAAATTTTAACTTAATTTATTATTTTAAATAATTCTCTATAACTTTTTGGCTACCGCGGCCGCCGCATTTAGATACTTTCGCCAAAAATCTTAACCTAAAAATATATGCATTGCCCAATCGTACGAAAAGTGTGCGGCGCATTTCTAGGTATGAGTGTTTATACAAATAATTGTACATATGTATGTATGTATATGCTGACAACTTTTATGGGCTTTTACTTTGAATTTCCCACTGCAGTGTATTATATTTTTCGGGCACAATTGAAGGAAACGTAAATTGATATTTTCGTCAAAAATAAAAAAATAAAAAACTTCTGTTTAAAAAGTCTCACACAAATATTTAGCCATCAGCAATCATCTCCCTACTTGTTACGCCACACACCCTACAAGAAGAGTTAGGAGGTCATTCGGTGCATGCCGCCGGCTGATGAAAATAAAAAAGAGCTACAGCATTTACGTCATATCAACGGTAAAAGTATAGAGATTCCTGTCAAATCACACAAAAAAATGGTACGACAACGCCCACGAAAGTCTGTTGAAGAACTGTATGCGTCAAAATTCGAAGCGAATCCAATTAAATCTCAGGCGAATAACCATGTGCCCAAAAATTTGCGTGATCGAGGTGAGTACGGCGGTTATATCATCACCTCAAATACGCCCTACAACGCCAGCGCTCAGGCGGCAACTGGTAACTCAGCAGGGCTGAACGGTGCTATTAACAGCATGGCAATGGGAGTTAGTAGCATGGCAACCGGGCGACGCAAGAGCGCACGTCCGGCAAGCAATAACAGTAAGCCGGACAAGTACTATGGCAAAGATGAAAAGGTGCTGAGTTTGGATGATGGCAAGAAAGATCATAGCAGCGGCAACAAAGCTAAGACAGCGAGAACAGAGAAGAACAGCTACGGTCCACCAGCGCCCATGTATAATATGCCTAATTTGTATGACAATAAGAATTTTACAACCTTCGCCGATAGTAGTGGTCAGAAAGATTTACGAGTTCAGGAACATACCAACCACCATCGCCATCATCATACAAATCATCACGACGATGATAAGGATGATGATACCGAGGAGTTTTTCGAACTCATTCGCCAAACGGTTGAGAACGCCATTGGTGTAAGTGTTAGGAGTTTCAGGGCAAACCTAATTTGGTAAAAGTACTGTTATTCTCTTCTTAGAAATCCATCTCTGATTTACTCAATCGTAATTTTCGTGAGTTATCGGCCAAAGTCGATCGGTTTTCAGCTGAACTCAAATCCACCAATTCATTGCTAAACAAACTGCAGGCGGAATTGAACAACAGTAAGCTTTCATATAAAACAAATAAATAATAAGAAACCGTTATAATAAATGTTTTCAAATCCTTGCTTTATACAATAGAGGTGGTCCACTATGGCGAGGAGAATTCACGCCATTTCCGATACCTTTGCATGAAATCGGAATATGATAAGATGTTCTACCAACACCATACGATGTTGGCATCCACAACAAATACACCGTCAACCTCTGCACCAACTCCACCCATACCGCATCCGGAGAAACGTGGTAATGGCTCAAAACAAAGCACATCCATCAACGACTGCGAAAAGACACAGAACGCGTGTTCGTGCCGCAGCACGAGCAAGACGCCCTCGTCTGAGCCTCACAAAACCTCATCTGAAGAGCGTAGCATGAGTCAAAAGTCATCTGAAATGGGTATGCGTGAGGTACTGGAGCATATTCAACGCTTTTGCACGCAAATACAAATGACCGAGCTAAAGGGTGATGAACAACCCTTGCCCAAGAGTACCAGTTATCGTCTGGAAGAAGCTATGAAAATCAGTAAGCCAGTTTTCGATGAGGATGACGATGACTTTCAAATGAGCTCTGATGGCATGACGCCGCGCAGCGACGAACACTTGCACCACACCAAGTATGGCGGCACAACAATGCGAAGTTGCAGCACAACTCGGGGCGGCAACGGTGGAGGGGACGCCTAGCGCGATCACGTGAGAAATGAAAAAAAGCCACAACGAAGTGATACAAAAAAAAATTGAATGTGTGAATTGAATGTTATGACAGAAGTGCTCATTGAAAATCCTTAAATAATAATACAATTCCAAGTGTATGTTAATCCCAGCTCTAAATTGTGCTCGTTTTCGATTCTTTATTTTAAAGAATTTAAATTTGTGTCAATAAATATATTTTGTATTTTTCCTTGATTCCATTCTGTGTGGAATAAACTAAAAGTGATTTTTACTTTCGGTCTCTTTCGTCGTTATCCTGTTTCTGTGGCTGTGAGGTTGTTTTCCCGCTCATGTCTTGAAGAAATTGGTGTGGGCACTTGTCTTCGTTATCTTCATAGCTAATTGAGACTGCCTGCTCTCAGCCCTCTCAGCCCTTTCAACCCATTGTAGCATTGGTTTTGGACAATTACTTCCGAGTTGGATTTCGAGGCATATTTTATTCTTACTGAACGACCGAAGAGATTTTTTGATGCTGTTCAGCTTAATTCTCTTGGCCAAATGAGCTTGCGGGGTACCGAATTCAGACAGCGTAAATGCTGCCTATCTTGATTCTGCCGAGCCAAGCAGCCCTTGAATAGACCAAGTGTTGTTGTCGGGTTCTTTTTCACGATTACTTCCTGAATTTTGAGACATGGTGAATATCTGGTAAATGGTGGATTTACCATCAACCAGGTCCGAAGCCACACTGATATGATCCGATCAGTTCAACGATAGTGGCTTCTATCCTACATCCAATAACCTGATAAGCCTGCATTGGGTCTCAATTGTAATCTCATTGGAGCTGCAGTTTAACAGGCTACAGTTGTGTTGCATCAATGAATTCAATACATCAGCAAAAACTGTAACGTGTTCTGATCTTAACGCCTTCCGGGAACCACCAAATCTTCCCCATCAGACAACATGACCCAACTGGTGTAGGTTCTCCACATATCCGACGACGGGTATGTCATTCTTTAGTCTTAAGAGGATATCAAGCTGCACCAAAATCATTTTCTGCCACTGCTCTATTGTCAGGATCATGTAAAAATCCGATGAGTCAGATTTAGCAGTTTTTGAACTTTCTGGAAGTTGTTTGAAGTCATAGGTGATTTCAACACCAATAATCATGTCCGTCTCGAAAACACACAGCAGCTACTTTGGCTTGAGTTTAGAAGTAGAGCCCTCTTTTGGCGAACAAAAATCAGGCTCTGCAGTCCACTTAACCTTCCCGTTCTTATGTATAGTGCAGAAGTGTAAACGACGTCATGTCATCAGGATGAACGAAAACACTCTAGCTTTGAAGGTGAAGAAGGTCCTGGCTACACTCTGAATTATCAATTGGCGTCGAACGGCGACTGGCATGCTATCGGTGAGCCGGTCTAAGCGGTGCTAACGCCAATGGTATGGTTCAATTACATTACATTCCCTCTTAATGAACACTAATTCTATTTAATTATTTATTTTTTTCTATAACAACAGTAACTTAGCAGTAAAAGCGCTTTCATGTAAGTCAACAGGCAACAGAGAGCTTTCCAGTGCTGTAAATACCATCGCATTAACAGATGTGAAATCTCGTATTCAAAGTGAAACAATATCTCTGTTTATGATAAAAATGCATATCTTGTATAAATATATCGTTATCAGAAAATATGTCTAGTCATATACTATATACTTATATATAAACATATAACGGTGTAAACTAGCTAGCATTGGCTGACCATATTTTTCGTATTGTTTCAAAATAGCTGAAGACATGGTAAATTTTTAAAATATTCGCTTTTCCGCCCACCTTTTTCGCGCCAAAAACCGAAACAGAAATTCTGCGCTATTCCTCTTGATATAGTCCAGCTGGATTTTTAGTGCTGTTACTCATTTAGCTTTCTCTTTGAAAGGATAGCAACATGTTTCCATGCTTAAAAGCCATGCTGTAAATGCGTATGTACAATATACTCCTATACACATGTATGTACATATGCACGAGTATGTATGTATATCTATGCTACAGTTGCTGAATTGGTAGCAGCATCTAAAGCGACGCACTGATTTGATTTGGTAGTCTGCCGCTGCCATCCGAATGAGTAACATGCTCGAGTCGGTTGGTGGTGCTAAGTTCACATTTGGTTGGCATTTTGAGTTTCGTGTTTTGTTTAAACAAGATAAGCAAATGCAATTAATATACTTACCATAAGTTCGTATGTATTATGTATGTGAAGCAAAAAAAAAACATAACAAAAAAAAATTGTGCAGTGAAACAAGTGAAAGCCATCACATCTCTGGCGGTTATATCAGATTGGCTAATAAGTTGGCGAACCGGCGCAAAAATGTGAACGAAGTCCAGTGCTACTATCGCCGCTTCCGAAAGTGGTTACAGTGCTTTTGCCAACTATGTGTTGCAAAGCATTGCAACAAAAAATCGTATTGCAAGAAGACAAGTTGCAACACGTGTTGTTGGCAATGGTTTTGGTGCTTGTGGCCACAAGACGTTTTTGAAAAAAAATAAAAATTAATACAAAAAATCGAATTTAAATTTGCACTTGCAACGAAACTGTGTTGAAAACTATCCGGCCATTACAACCTTAATTGGGTGAATGAGTTGCCATTATCAAGGCATAATGCAACCAATTGCAACAACAATAAAAAGCGTTGCAGAAAGGAAAACCTGGCGCACGAGTTCAATAAGAAGCAGTGATAAGCGAAACGTCGAACATTTTTACGTCATTGAAAAACTGGCTGTTTACTAAACTAATAGTGCTGAATGATGTTCCTTATAATTTTCGAAGAAAATCATACATCGCAATGACGCTGCTGGCGAATGCTGCGAAAATGTATTTGAAAAGCGCGCCGCTGCTGACTTGTGCTTTCTGAAGGTGGATATATTCTCGTGTTAAAATTTTTTCAAAATTTTAGTAGTTCTATGTACATACGAGTATAACTGGGAAAATAGGTTAGAACAACTATAAACTGCAAAGCGCATAAATATAGTATTATATATATGTACATATGTATGCTTGCAAGTAGACAAACATTCGTACGAAAATTCGTGTATTTAAATACTTGTATTGCAACTGGCAAATCCTCTTACTTCTGACAGTGATTCTTTTCAAAAATATCATTTTTTTAGATGCCTGAGAGCAAACAAAGTAGCCTAAGTCAAATTATAATGAAAAAATACATACATTAAATTAAATACACACATACAATTGAAGCAATTAGAGTCAGAAGAAGATTACGGATTATTTGATACTCTCACAGTTGCCGATTCTGAGCGATTATAATACTTTTTATGTTTTACTTTGGAAAAGATAAAATACATGAATTATCAAAATAAATTAAAAATTTAAACAAATAAAAAAAATATACAAAGACGAGATATATTAAAATTATGATACATACATACATATATTAATTAATATTTATCAAATAAAATAAAATAATTAAGATAGATAAATATGAAATCCAATCAAATTAATTAAAATACATTACCAAATTTCTCTTTACTTCACTTGTTAAGCTCATTTTGCAAAATGGCTCAGTTGTCTGGAGTCCGCTCTATCAATTATTCAGTGTAAATTTGAATTTGTACAAAAGCAATTCCTACCATTCGCGTTAAGAAATTTAAACTGGGATGCTAACCCGAACCTGCCTCCTAACAAAAGTCGTTTACGACTCATTAATCTGCCTACACTCCATGGTCTTAGAAAGATGCTTGGAGTTTTATTTTTAATTAAATCGATAAGAGGTATTATCAATAGTCCATTCCTACTTAGCGAACTTAACTTCACCATCCCTTTAAGATCATCTAGACACTTTAGGCGCCATTTATTGTGTTCATGGAAAACAATATTTGAAATTCACGACCCATTTAGATCTTTGTGTAACGATTTTAATACATATTTCACCAACATAGTAACATTGGTTGCTCTGACTCGCTTTTTTGTATCGAAACCTACTTTCTGAGTTGAGTTCATGCGGCTGCTGATCAAACCCCAGTACACTTAGGTCAATAGGCTCATTGTGATACCGCTGAGGCTCTTGCCTTCACCTTCTCAAATGATCGAACCATTTTGTGTGCCTTGATGCCAACTCAGCGAGACAGTCTAAGAAGTGTTTCCCAAGAAACTTGTGTCACGCGGATGCCAAGGCTGGACAGTGGCAGAAGTAGTGCTCGATGATCTCCTACTCTTCTTCGTCCCTACAGCCGCGGCAGAAATCGTTAGAGCAAAAGCCCATCCTAATCCCGTAAAGCCCCATTAAACAGTGTCCAGTTATTATACCCGTCGCTAAGCTAATGGAGGACTGGTCCAGAAGGGTTCCTCTTCTTGCCAGTTCGTCTGCCATGCAATTTCCAGGGATGTCCCTGTGTCCAGGTACCCAGACCACGGCAGTACTGTACTTCGTTGAGAGTTTGTTGAAAGTGTTTCTACACTATGGCCACTTTTGACGTGGTACCGTTACATTGAAGAGATCTGCTTGCAGCATGGCTATCAGAGTAGATTGTTACCGATTGCCCTGCGGCCGTAGAATTGTGCAACCATTCCGCGGCCTCCATGATTGCGAAGAGAGAAGAGAAAACGCAGCAATGATCCGGTATTCTCATCCCATGCTTACTGAAAGCACGGGAGAATAAATTCTGCAACCCACCTTCCCATCGAGCTTCGAGCCGTCTGTGAAGTTGACTATTGCGCCCTGGTCGGGGACGCTGGTGCTTTCCCACTTACATCTGATTGGGATTCTTGTGGAGAAAAAATTATCGCAGCATTCACTGGAGGTGGTGTAGTCCAGCTCCTTCGGCACTTCTGTAAGAGATAATATTTTTTTTTTACTGCAGTTCCTCCAAGGTTGAGTTGTATTCAATATTATTGCGTTGCAATTCGTTTGTAGTTTCTCGTATAGGTCCGGAGAAAGGACGTTGAGAACAGTTAGCAGTGCTTTCGAGAGAGTTGATGGCAAAGCTCCCGTTGTCAGCATGGACGCCGATCGTTGAACTCTCTCTAATTTGCTCCTAAAGCTGATTTTCTCGAGTGCCGGCCACCAGACGGTGACCCCGTAGACCTACTTTCTATGCGCTTTAAATAATTAAGTAAATTCCGTCTCCTTTTCCCCATACAATTTTATAGCAGCTGATGAGCAAATCTGTGGCTGTGTAGTGTAAGAGGCGGGTTCAGGGTTTTTCGATTATTCCTTAGAAGCGCCACTCAGTCAATTGGGCGGGAGGTGCGCTGGGCTCGTTGTTACCAAAAAAAAAAAATATTAAAATTCATAAAAAATTCAATAAAAAAAAATATAGCATCATAATTAAATTAAAAGAAATAATAGAATTAAATATCATATGATAAAATAATAAAGAATATATTAAAATAAAATATAAAATAAACTAAATATTAATATTATATAATATTATAATTATAATTTTAACAACGGAAATCTTTATTTATTTATATAAAATCTAGCTTACAACATAAATCTTATGAAAAATATTCCTTCTTTTGAGAAAGTCCGTTATTAAAAGGATTGATTCGGCTGAGGGAACTGAGATACCTCTCAGAAAGTTGTATTGGTGTTAGTAAAAATTCGTTCTGTATGGATGGCATATAGTGGGCAGTTAAGTAGAAGTTGGTTAACTGCGACTATGACATTTGTGCTGCAAGTGCAGTATACAAGGTTTGAGTTCTTCATAAGACACCCATATGTTACTTTGGAGTGTCCTGGTCTAAGGCGTTGGAACTTTATAACGTCGAGTCGTGAAGGGTTTCTTTAGATTGTTGTACTCGTACGAAGTCCATTGGATCGGCATTTATGTAATTTATACTTTTGTATCAATTATTACGAAAAAATAAATAAAATATGTCATTCACAAACATATGTACGAGTATGCCATACGACCAACTGTCCTTGGCCTTGATGAAAGGTTTTTAACTTTAATGAAGACACGAAGAAATCAGCCAAAATGTAAAACGTTTCTAATATTTTTTTTTTTATTATATCCTTATTGGTGGCTTAAAGAATTTTTTTAAATGTTGCACACTTAAACTAAGCAATTCCCAAACGAATGTGTATTAAAAAAAATAAATAAATACGATACACATGACATACAATATCACACCAACATGTTCTTGCAAAAGATTTCTGTGCGCTAAAGGCGGCCGCATTTGCATATATCTATACATATGTACATACCTACGTATGAATGTGCTTAATATAATAGAAAATTATAATCTTACGTTATTATTTTAACGAGAAGATTTTTTACAATAATTCAATAAGAGAATATATATCTCAGATTAGATTTACAATACATACATACATACAGTTATACATACAAACAAGCTTTAGACCAATTAAGGAAATTAAAATTGATTTCTAATTTTTTTGCCCAACTGTACTGTGGACTAAGGTGAATTATGAAATTTTTGTTCATCTAACGGTTGTTTGCCACACTATAATATATAATGCAGTTAAAAATATACAACATGGCGATAATCTCCTGTCACCTTTTTTAAACCTTAGCTTTCCGAAAGCTGTATGTGAGATGCTTTGCTGAACTTTTTGTGCCAACTCAAGTTGAAAAATTGTTTTTATTGCCAGACAGCCGCAACGCCAAGATGACCGCGTGTGTGCAGCAAGCATGACTGATAAAAAGCAGTCGAACGATAGCGAGACGTGTCGCCCAGAATGATGTGGCCTCGACTTCAAAAGAGTACACATTCTACTCTCTTTTTATTGGTAATTTATCATAGAAAAATCAAAATGCCGCAAATTTCAAAACTAAGTAACAACCGAACTCTCTTCCCACGTTCAATACTAAAAGTTTTCATAACCGTTAAAGAAATCCCCATATGTGCAATCTATGAGCGACTGGTATAATGTAGATGAGCAATTTGTTGGAGATCGACAAACTAGAGGCATTATGGGCATACAACCAATAGCATTTCCCTCAGGGCTGCTACGTAAACATATATAAAAGCCCATATGTACATACATACACGTACATATGTAGGCATACAAATTGTTTTAACGAATTTCCACAGATCACTTTGGCTCAAAACAGCCTGTTTGGTGAAAAGCGCGTCGCTACTAATTGATGATTGATGTTTTTGAATATTGACGTAAACAAACGCGGCTTTATAACAGATGGAGTAACACATATGTATTATGCATATACATACATACATACATACATATGTACAACGAGTGTGATGCTATTAAATTTGAAACATTAATCACAAGCTACGTGGAGTTAAGCAAGCAAAAAAGAATCACCAAAAAGTGCGCCAACAAACGAAATTGATTGCACAGCGCTGTGCCATCTTTGGCTGGTATTCAAAAATTATTTCATTACACGTGGTGCTTGTGTGAATTTAATATCCAGTAGATTTTCATAGATAAAAGCATTATTCATATAAATACACGCATACCTACCTTTTATTTCTACGATTTGACAATTGGGATTGGTCAGAGTGTCAAAGCATAATTTTCAATGGATTTGCATATGTACATATATATACTTATTTGATTGTCCATGGAAACTAATTAATTACTTTTTTTTTAATTTTGAATAGAAAGATATAAATTCACACAAAGTTAATCTCAAATATTTACATATATGTACATATGTATATGCATTTACATAGTGAACACTCATATACACGAGACAACAATTGTCGCCATTGAAGTGAATGAAATTAATACGAATATATTTTGCTCGGCCAATTCAACTTAATAAATACAGAAATTATAATTACTTTATTTATAATCTTCGCAGTAAATAAAATGTACATATTTGCTAAATATCTCATCATTATCTACAAAGTTTGCTGCCAACTTTTGTGTACTTTGCTATTTGTCGTTTTTGCTTCGCTGTCATTTA